GGCAAGGCGGGGCGGGCAATGGTGCCACGGGGGGGGGCGGGTGTGGGGGGGCTACAGTGAATTTTGGGGTGGCTGTAGCCCATCCCATAGCCCCCCCCCCTTCCAGCACTGTATTTTATTATCTTACAGTCCCAAATCGCTCATGTCATAGGGACATTTCCTAGCTTCAAAGGAAGAGCAACCATGCCAACTGTGCATACCTTCTTCAGTCAATCATACCCGTATAGATACTCCAAACTGAGTACAAGCTAGAGCTATCTACAGGTCTCTGAATCAAAGCAAATATAAAAAAAAATAGCACATGATGGTGGAGTAGGAAGCTGCTTTGATAACATATTCCATTCCCATGTTTTAAGATTTAGAAGTGCTCACTTACTTGACTGTAATTAGTTCCAGTAACCAGTGAATTCGAATTTGTTCAATGCCACCATGTGGTACTGAAGAAATGTATGCAAGGTTAATGATTTGGTCCTTACTGAGGTCAAAAATATCAGCTCTGCTGTGCGGTAGAGGAGGACTATGGAGAGAAAAAAATGAAATTTATTACACTGCATCACATTAGCATTTAGATGCCCCAACCAATCTTGGGGCCTCATTGTACTAAGCCCATATATACACCCAGTAAGAAGATTAAACTCTTTACAGTAGTAATCACACTCAAGACCAAGGCGAAACTGATACATAATAACGTGTCTAAGGTCACATACAGGGTTGGTGCTAAACCCAAAACTAAACCCAGCTCTCTTTCCTCTCAGTCCAACACTTTAGCGACGGATCTTTGAAGTATGAGATTTTCCTGATGGTGCTGTTACTGAATGATCTCCCAAATAGAAGCAATATGAAGTTCAATAAGATAGTGGGAGGAAACAAAAATACAGGGTTTCTCTCTTCAGCACACTTGAGGTGGTGTCATAAATTGCCATCAACCAAAGAAAGCTTTTGCCTGCAAATAAACTCCTTATACATGCAAAAGGAAAATACAGAATGATTATTAACAGAACTGTAGGACTGGAAGAGACCTCAGGAGATTATTTAGTCCAAGAGTGCTCATCTCCAGCCTGCAGGCCAAATCTGGCCTAAGGAACCATATCACTCAGCCTATGTGGATCCCCACAGCTTGAGAAATGTGGTGGTGAGGGGACAGTGGAAGCTCCACACAGCCAGATCCCGTCTGGGCCACTGCTACACAGCCACAATGAGGGCTGGGCCCACCCCCTCAAATGATGGGATCAGGCCAGGCTGCTCTGTGCCCCCTGCTCCTCTATGCCTGGATCAGGCAGGGCTGGGCTGCTTAAGAAGCTTGAAAGAGTCCAAAGGAGAGCCACGCACATGATCTGAGGTCAAGAAAGCAGACTTTATGATTAGAGGCTGAGAGCCATGGGACTCTTCAGCCTGGAAAAGCGCAGGCTCAGGGGCGATCTGATGGGCACCTATAAATTCATAAGGGCTGTTCACCAGGACCTGGGGAAATGTTTGTTCACCAGAGTGCCCCAAGGAATTGCAAGGTTGAATGGTTATAAACTTCTGCAAGATTGTTTCAGGCTGGGCATAAGGAAGAACTTCTTTACTGTCCGAGCCCCCAAGGTCTGGAACAGCCTGCCACTGGAGGTGGTTCAAGCACCTACTTTGAACGCCTTCAAGAGAAACCTGGATGTTTTTCTTGCTGTGATCCTATGACCCCTGCTGACTTCCTGCCCCTGGGGCAGGGGGCTGGACTCGATGATCTTCCGAGGTCCCTTCCAGCCCTAATGTCTATGAAATCTACCCATGCCCCCCATGCAACTGGACTGGGAACAGACCAGGGTGCTCCTCCCCCTCTCCCCTCCACTTCACATCTGGATTAGGGCCAGACTTCTCTGTCCCTGGCCACCCCCTGAATGTCTGCATTGGTGCCAGGCTGTTTCCCCAACCCCCGTGCTGGAATGAGCCCACAGGCCAGATCTGGCCCATCCAGCCACCTGGCACCTCCCATCCAGCCCACAGGGCAAAAATGTTGGGCAACACTGATCTAGTCAAACCCACTGCTCAAAGCAGGATCACCTCTACCCAAACCATCCCATGTAAGTGCTAGTCTAACCTAGTCCTAAAACTATACAAAAACCCCTTGTACAACTACAAGGAACATTATCCCAAAACACCAAAAACAACCCTGGAATGGGTAAAGCAGGGGGGTGAGGGCTGTCAATGTCCTACTGATGCAAGGGTTGTTAAAATATACTCAAGAGATCCAAGGAAGAGGACTGTGCCCCCTGCTACAGAGAATAGCAAAAGCCCCCACAGTCCATACGGATCTGACTGTGGAGTAAAATTTCCTCCTGATCCCAAATGTGGTGATTAGTCTCACTGAGCAGATAAGGAAGACTCTCTAACCAAGAACCTCTGGGTTGCTTGTATGCAGCATGTCTGCATAGCTGACCCCATCTCTGTTCAAGGTCACTTCAGCAATACTTTTATGTCAGGGTTAGTTGTTTCTTCTGAAGAGAGTGTCATATCAGGTTTCAGAACTCCTGTGGAAGTTTGTTGTGTTGCCTGGATTGGTGCTATCCTCTCTGGGTATATTTGCCCTATACTGTGCTTAGCCCTGGACTCACTTCAAAACTCATGCTGGCCATAGAACCATTCAGATCAAGGTCTCTGTGACACACCTTCTTCAAGATGGCAAACTGTTTTATCCTAGCAAGGTTCTTTGGGTAGATGTGATATCTTTTATTAGACCGAGTAGTTGGAAAAAAGTTCTTAGACTACTCAGTTGTTGTAATAAAAGATATCACATCTACCCAAAGAACCTTGCCTGCCTATGTCCTTAGACCAGGGGTTGTCAACTAGGGGTACTTGAGAAAGCCCTAGGGGGTACACATGGGTGGGGATGGAGCGCTGCCATGCACAAAGCTGGGCAGCACCACCCACCCGGCCAGATCGGGGGTGGGAGAAGCTCGCACGCGGCATCTGCCGCTGCTCCACATTCAGTTGTGCGGCACCCCTTCCCCCCCAGTTCTGCATCCAGCCGCCGGGGGTACACTGACCCAAAAAAGCTGAAAACCCCTGCCTTAGACCAACACAGCTACAACCAAAAACCCTGTTCAATGCTGTACACTTGAATCCTTGGGTCCTTTTATTTCACTGAAATTAATGCAACAGGGGATAGAACCTTTGTTCCATGACCCTACTTCTTCCCATCCAGAGCTAGCTGCAATTTGCTATGAAAGAAAAAACCTTTCCCTAAAAACCAGAACTATGTTCAGAGTCTGCTGGATTATATAGTACCTACAGGACTTCTGTTAATTCAGCTTCACATTTTTACAAAAGAAATATGCAAGGCCACTCAGAGACTTTAGTAAAATATATGAACACACTGCACAATGCTGAGAATATAGTCTATACTTGTAAAGGACCTTCCATGGATCATTCTAACCCATGGCCGTTCTCCATCTCCGTCTTGTAACTGAACCAGATATAGTTTTTTGAATCTGCTATTGTCTGCAAGCTAATAGATTCATCAATGTAAAAGGTTCTATCTGGTCTACATTGTAGTCACAAAGGCATTTACCAAACCATATAGGCCAGGGGTTTTCAACCTTTTAAAATAAGTGTTCCCTTTCTGATTCAGAGTTTCAGCTCCTGTACCCCATATCTTTTTTCTTCTTTTTAAAGTGGGGGCAAATTGAGGCCCCAGTGGTGCGAGAGGGAATGGGGCTGGGGCAAGCGCTGCACAGCCGGGGCAGAGAACAAAACAGAGCCGCGAGTGGCTCATCCAGGGGACACAGGGGGAGAGGGGCTACATGGGGGGCATGTGCCCCTAGATCTGCACGGGGTGGGGCAAGCTGGGCTGCCCCAGCGGTGGGGGAGGGAGTGGGGCTGGGGCAGGGGCTGCCCAGCCAGGGCAGGATGCAGGACTGAGCTACACGGGGGAGTAGGGGGTGGCTCCCGCTGCTATGTGCACCCCCAGGAGGGCATGGGGGGCATCTGCCCCAGGATCTACAGGGGGATGGGCAGGCTGCAGGCTGGGGCTGGGATGGCACCAGGCTATTCCTGGCAGGGGCTGGGCCAGGCTGCATTTGGGGCAGGTGGTGGCGGTGACACTGGGAGGAGGCTTGGGGGGCTATGGCGAATTCTGGAGTGGCTGCAGCTCCCCCGCCCTCCCCCCGCATAGCCCTGTGGTAAGGGAGGTCAGTGGGGCAGGGACATGGGCACGGGCAGGCACTGCACAGTTGGGCAGAGCACAGGACTGAACTGCACGCACCCCAGGAGGGCACGGGGGGTCACGTGCCCCCAGATCTGTGTGAGGGGCTTCCTGGGGCTGGGGCAATGCCAGCCTCTTTCCGGCAGGGACTGGACTGCACTGTGCTCAGGGCTGGTAGCAGCGCTGGGATGGGGCTACAGGAGGGGCTGCAGCCACTCCAGAATTTGCCGTGGCTCTCTGACCCCATTCCCAGCACCACCGCTGCCTGCCCTGAGCGCAGCATGACCCAGCCCCACCACCAGGAACAGCCTAGCACAACCCCAGCCCACGCCACGCCGCCCTGCCCTGCACGCAGATCTGGGGATGTGCACCCCCCATGCCCTCCCACGGTTGCGCATAATGGTGGTGCTGGGATGGGGTAGGCAAACTGTAGGAGAGGTCACACATGGCAACCGCCACCCACCACTGGCTATTAGCTGAGGGCAGCAGCCCAGCAGCCAATCAGGAAAGCAAGCTGAGGCGGGGGCAAGGAGGCATTGTGATGTGTTGTATGGGGCTGGCAGCGCCTGGTGCACCCCTCCCACTCCCCCGGGTAAGAGACAAACGTGCCGGGGGAGATACTGCCACCATGCCCCGGGGCTCTCCATCCTCATCCACCCACACATATCCCAAAGACCCTTCTAAGTACCCCTGGGGTTATGCGTACTCTTGGTTGACAAACCCTGATATAGGCATTTAGAGCCTGAGGGCATAAGAGCATGGATAGACATATAACTACACTGTTTTAAAAGAATATATGTGGGTTAGGAGCAGGAAGATGAAAGTTAAACTGGATTCAGATGCACCGTATTATGTCCTGCCCTTCCCACCCTACCCCACTTCCCTTTACAGTGCAACTATGTTGTCTGTCTACACCCTGGCTCCCACTGCAATAAATAGCTTTAGATCCCTAAATTCCTCTGTGGGCTGGGGCCAATGTGGTTTTGCAGCAAGATAAATTAGACTGAGCTGAGCTATGTGGTGCTGCTCGACTGCCACATGTCCCCAAACTAACTTTCAAGTATCTACATTACCAAGCAATTACAGAAGGGACTGTAGTGTAGACAGGACTCAAGACTTGCACTTAGCACAGATTACACTGCCAGTAAAGAGTTAATGTTTGCACAACTGAATTTTTGTCCCTTGGTAGAAATGCACTACAATAAGGTCTTCTATTACATTAGCATATGCTATCCATGAAGCTATGTGAAAATGAGCATTCATTCTTGGAATGAAGGTATTTAAACAAATCACGTTAACAGTGGAGGGTGTTACACTCTTCTGAGTAGATGATTGTAACATATGGAGCTGTTCAGTAAGTGAAAGTATTTATGTGTACCTTAAACATCTAAGATTCCAGGCAAAGTTTCTGCCTCAGGATACATCATAAAACATGGAGCTTCAATGCATGATGGTCTGTTCAAAGCTGTTGCTGTTGATGATGATTTGGATTTTTTTATCCACAAAGCAGTGTGAATGAGTCTCCTCTGGTCTGGCATGAGGCTCTCAAAGGCCTCTGCAACCTACAGGTACTGCCTAAAAACATCCTCGTTCTTGCTGCAAGCTGCCTTAGTGTCCTCCCTAGGGTGGCTTGCCTGCAAAGCACTGGCACTATTGTAAGCAGCAACCCATCAAAATTTGCTTGGTGTCCTTAAACCACTTCAGTCAGCATGACCTAGTGATTTATTCGAGGGGGTGAATAATAACAACTAGGGGTCAAAGTTCAGCCAATGCAGAGTGGAGTTTTCTGACCCACGTACACATCATCCCTAGGAGCAGCTCACAGGGGACCTTTTCTTTCAGCTGAAAGCTGTTGCAGAAGCCATTGTGCTGCTTGAAAGCATTTAACATGGAGAGGAGCTGGGCCACGCGCTGCTCTCTGCCTCACCCACACAGCCTCACTAAGAGGGCTCCACAACAGCAGGCAACAGCCACATGCAAATGAGGCTGGCTGCATATTCCCAGTTCCTTATTCCTGGTTCTTTATTCCTTATTCCTAGTTCCCAGTTCCTTTTTCAAAGCTAATCTAGACCCAATCAAAGCTTGTTATTGATGAATTGCACATCCTAAAGAGAGAGAATTTCATTACCAATGCACATGTACTAATTAATATGTAAAATAATATCCCACATCAGGTACAGACCCCTGAATGAAGGTCAGATTCAGATGGGATTGAGCCAAAATACTCCCCAGGCTGCTGCAAACTACTTGTCTATGCCACTGGGGGACTGCCCCAAAGAACCCTGACCACAGTCCTGCCCAGCCCAAAGCAGTTTGGTCCTGCCAGGCTGCCAACTGACAGCCCCCATGCCCACTTTACTTTAGGGATAGCGGGATGAGTCCATCAGTGCCACAGTCATAGTGTGGGGTGGCCCAGAAGCATTTCTATCTCTAATCTTAGCCCAAAAAGAGCTCCTTATTCAAACCATTATACTTAGTACAGGGGCTGGGGGAGCAGGGGCTCTCAGCTGACAGCATGACAGAGCCAAACTGCACTTTGGGCTGGACAACGCTCTCCAGGATGCCCTGTAGAATCTCCCAGTGCCACAAAATCATAGTGTGGGGTGGCCCAAAAACAATTTCCAAGCATAAACCCGGACAAAAACAGTTCCTTATTTGAGCCCATATATTTAGTACAGTTGGCATGGGGGGACTGTCAGTGGGCAGCCTGACATTCACAAACTGTACTTCAGGCTGAGCAAGACCCTGGCCAGAGATGTCCACGTGAGTCCCCCAGTGCCATAGACTCATGGTGTGGGGTGGCCCAAGAAGCATTTCCATCTCTAATCCCAGCCCAGAAACCAGTTCCTAATTAAAGCCTGTATACTTAGTACAGTGGTGGGGGGGGGGAGGCTGTCAGTTGGCAGCCTGGCATGGCCAAACTGTGCCTTGGACTGGGCAAGATCTGGTCAGGGATGTCCAGGAAGGTCCCCTGGTGCCACAGAGTCATGGCGTGGGGTGGCCCAAATGGATTTCCAGCCATAATCCAAACCCAAAAGCCAATTCCTTATTTGAGCCCATATACTTAGTACAGTGTCTGGGGGGGCTGTCATGTGAACGCCTGGCATGAACTGCACTTTGGACCAGGCAAGACCATGATCAGAGATGTCCAGGACTGCCCTGGTGCCACAGAGGCGTGGTCTGGAGTGTCTTAAAAGGGATTTCCAAACGCAATCCAAGCCCCAAACCCAGTTGCTTTTTCGAGCTCATGTATTTAGTTCAGCAGCCATGGGAGGCTGTCAGCTGGCAGGCTAGCACGGCCAAGCCGCACTTTGGGCCAGGCAAGTCTCTGGTCAGAGATGTCCAGGAGAGTCCCCTGCTGGCATAGAGGCACGGTGCGGGGTGTCCCAGGAAGGATTTCCAATCATCTTCAGGCTGGACATAAGGAAAAACTTCTTTACTGTCCAAGTCCCCAAGGCCTGAAACAGACTCCCTCCAGAGGTGGTGCAAGCACCTCCTCTGGACTCTTTTAAGAAACATTTGGACATCTATCTTGCTGCGATCCTTTGACCCTTGCTTACTTCCTACCCCTGGGGCAGGAGGCTGCACTCGATGATCTTCCGAGGTCCCTTCCAGCCCTAATGTTTATGAAGTCTATAATCTCATTCCAAAAACCAGTTCCTAATTCAAACCCATATACTTAGTAGAGTGGTTGGGGTGGGGTGTCAGTTGGCAGCCAGGCATGGCCAAGTCGTGGTTTGGGCCAGGCAAGTCTCTGGTCAGAGATGTCTAAGAGAGTCCCCTGGTGGCCCAGAGGCATGGTGTCGGGTGGCCCAAGAAGGATTTCTAGCTATAATCCCAGCCAAAATCCAATTCCTTATTCCGGTCCATATACAGTGGGTATATGGTCAGTGGGCACCCTGGCATGGCCAAACTGCACTTTGGGTGGGGCAAGTCTCTAGCCAGAGATGTCTGGGACAGTCCCCTGGTGGTACAGAGCTGTAGTATGGGGTGGCCCAAAAAAGATTTCCAAGCATAAACCCAGCCAAAAATGCTTCCTTATTTGAGCCCATATACTTAGTACAGTGGGCAAGGGAGGACTGCCAGCTGACAGCTTGGCACGCACAAACTGCACTTTTGGCCAGGCAAGACCCTGGCCAGAATGTCCATGAGAGTCTCCCAGTGCCACAAGTACACAGTGAGGGGTGGCCCAAAAAGAATTTCCAATCATAATCTCAGCCCAGAAGCCAGTTCCTTTTTCAAGCCATTATACTTAGTAGAGTGGGCATGGGAGGCTGCCAGTTAGCAGTCTGGCACAAACAACGCTCTGGACAGGGCAAGACTTGTCAGACGTATCTGGGAGAGTCCCCCAGTACCACAGAGGTATGTTGTGGGGTGGCCCAAACAGGATTTCCAGTCATAATCCCAGCCCAATTCCTTATTCCATCCATTATACTTAGTGCAGTGGGCATGGTGGGGGCTGTGAGTTTGCAGCCTGGCAGGACCAAACCATGCTTTGGGCCAGGTAGGACTGTGGTCAGGGTCTTTGGGGCAGTCCCCCGATGGCATCAACAGGAAGACTGTGGTGGCCCAAGTATTTTGCCCTATAATCCCATCCTAACCTGGCCTTCATTTACAGCTCTGCACTTGATGCAGGATATTATTGTACACACTCATCAGCAAAATGTGCACAGCGAATGAAATCCTCTCTCTTCCGGATGTGTCATGCATTAATAACTAACTTTTATTGGGTCTCGATTAGCTTTGAAAAAGGGGCCAGGAACCTTTCGTACGTGTCATGCATTAGTAACCAGTGTTTGCTAGGCCTCGATTAGCTGTGAACAAGGGACGGGGGACCTTCACAACCGAGTTCAGGCTCGTGACTTGCGGCAGGGGCGGGACGCCAGGTTTCATGGCAGGGCCCACCAGAAAAGAGGCCGCGGGCAGCCGGGCCCCGCGTTGGGCCGTCCCGTACCTATAAGCTGGGTCGGAGACTCCGAGGGAGCTGCCCCGTCCCCTCAAGTCGGTCGGGCGGCGCCGCACCGAAGAGGAAGGCGCAGCCCCAGCCGGTTCCAGACGCCGGCTCCCTACGCGCGCGCATGCGCAGCCGGGCCCCGAGCCTGGCTTACCAGAAGCCGGCGCTTTTCCAGAAGGGCTTTAGGGCGCGCGGGCTCTGCGAGGCGTCCACGGTGATGACGTAGGCGGCGCGGGCCGCACCGAGCAGCATGTGCAGCAGCGTCCCGACGGCCCAGAGCGCCGTCGAAGCCATGAGTCTGGGGCCCGGGGCCGCGGCGTTGTCTGCTCCCCCGGTCCTGCCCTGCCCTGCCCTGCCCTGCCTTGCCCTGCCCTCGCGCCTGGACACTCCCCGACCTGCTACCCCGGACCGGGAGCGGCCTCTGAGCCCGAGGGGGAAGAGGTCCCTGCCGCAACAGCAGCCTCGCTTGCGGGAAGCGGTCGGGAGGCGAGGAGCACCCTCCTCTGTTCAGCCAAGTGGTTTCCCCCGCCTGCCTTCCGGGTGCGAACGCCGGCGCGGGGAGTGGCGGCGGGAAAGCCGCGGACGGCGGTTGGAGGAAACCGAGCGCAGATCGGCTTGTGGGGGCAGCGGTTCGCGGCACTGCGCAAAGGCTTCACTTCGCGTCCGGTTCGTAGGGCAGGTTTCCTCCGCGGGAGGGGCATATGAGATGAGGGTGGACCTGGAGCTGCTGGCAGCTGGTGGTGACGTAGCCAGCCTGGCCTTGTGGTCAGGGCTGGGGCCATAGAGCTGGCGGGTCAGGCACTAGCCTGGACTCCCAGAGCTGCTGAAGGATGCTGGGGGTGGAGAGCTCAGAGGGACAGACTGCTGGTGGACCGAGGTGGCCTCCCCTGGTGACATGTCACTGTGGGTGCCAGGCCATAGGGTAGGCTCAGGCAAGCCGCTCATTCTGGAGTACAGAACACAGCTGTGGCCAGGATCCCCATGTGTGAGAATGGCATCCAGTTGCCATATAAAGGGCATGGACTTGCAGGCTGTCCCCAACTAACAGTTGTGGTCAGTCACGGTGACCCACTGCGCCCTCAAGGCCTTGACCTTTATGCAGTACAGGCATGTCAGCTGGTCGTACCCATGCTCCTGTATACAACCTGACAGCTCTTCATAAATATGAGTGTTGGAGAGCCTGCCCCATGCAAACTGGCTGAGCGCATCAGCCTCACCCCACAGCATCATGAGGTCTGCAGTCTAATGACAAGCTGGGGCCCCAGGAGGTGGTCTGTGGCATCGGGGAAGATGCTAGCATGGCTCCCGCAACAACTCAGGGCCTCTGTGGCTGTACCAGTGTTGCTGGGCCTGGGCAGCTGCCTGCAGCACTTAGCACAGGGGTATGGTGTAGGACTGGCAGCTGTGTGACCAGGCAGTGCCAGGCAGCACCTGTGGGGTCCAGGCAGGCTGCTGGGTGTCACCTGCAGCCAGGTGGAACTGGCTCCGGTAGCCAGAAGCTGGCTGCAGCTGGGCCTGGGTGCTGGCAGGCCTGGCAGGTGCCTACAACACCCTGAAGATCTGGACAGTGGCCCTGGCAGCCGCATGGGACTGGAGCTTTTAAGGTCCTGGACCTGGGCCTGACGTAGAGCTGCGCTGAGGCTGGCCC